CTGAAATGGAGAAATCCTGTGTTCCTTGAGGGTAGGAAAAGGCCCTGGTAAAGGGAAAGGGAGTTTGCCTTGCGTTTGAGGGACAGTGTCACCTCTGCCTTGGATGCTTTCAGAACCCAAGACTAAGGATATGCACGAGTTGTTTATGGCAGAAGATATGAACTTTTTCCTCTTGTTCTTTGATCCTTCATTCTTCAGTGCTTATCCCCATCCCTTCCCTCACCTTTCCCCTTCTCATTTTCTTGTCTTTAGGCAGTCTCTTCTTCCCTACCCTTACTCTTTTCCCTTTCTCTTCTGCATGACAATTTGAAGGTAACATTTGAAATGCACATAAGCCCTACAATCATGTACAAGTGCAGTGATGGTACTCCATCCTACAGAAAGCATTGGTGGAGCTTCGTAGTCTCTGAATACAGTGCTTAGACACTCCTCCCTGTAACTTCGCCCTTGGAGAGAGGCTAAACCCATTAATCTGAATTTTTTGCTTCCTTTCCCTTTGTTTTTTTCCCCTCTGATGCCATCTGCCCTCTTCCTTGCTGCCTTCTGATCTGGTTTCACACTAGTTTTAGTCTTCAGACCTGTGGACTTACCTTCCCAGTTATCCATGTCACAGTGTCTCTGAAGAGATCACCAAGAGCACCTTCTAAGTCAGCTGCTGTGGTGCCCAGTGATTGCTGTAACCACTGTAGACAGTGGTTAGCGATTGGTGATCTCTACTTCAGCCAGTTTACAGTAGACACTGGACAGGGTTTTGCTTATGAAAATTGGGGTTTTTTTGTGCCTAACAAACCTTGCAGTTTAGATTTAAATCTACAAGTATGGCTGTTGCAGTGCAGAGCATGAATGTGAGCTGTAAGTGGTTTGTTCCTTGCCCTGCTTTATTGGCTAAACTCTGCTTTCATTTGTGCCTGTACATTTCCAGTAACCCAGAATCTGGCTCAATGAATTAAGCAGCAGATTTGTGAGCCTCGAACCAAAATCTTCATGTAGCTGAGAACCACAAAATCGATACTGCATGCCTTAAAGAACCTTGAGTAGGAGGTGCTTGAGAGAGGTCTGCAGGTCTTCCACAGGAGTAGCTTTCCCTGCTCCACTGCAGGATGAGGCTGTGCAGGGCCTTCAGCTGTCTCCCAAGATGATGTATCAACATCAGCTGAGTCGTTTTTTTGTTTTCTAGCTAGAGTTTGAATAGTCCTTGCATCACTGCTGCTGGGAGGGTCGGCACAGTCTAGGTACTCCCACCCCAGCAAGCAGTGAACTATCTGCTCACTTGTTCTGTGTGCTCTTCCCTTTCAGTGGGCGTTTGGGGTGACCATGTGGGAGATTGTGACCCGAGGGCAAACCCCTTATGCTGGCATTGAGAATGCAGAAATCTACAACTACCTCATCAGCGGGAACAGGCTGAAGCAGCCGCCAGAGTGCCTGGAAGATGTGTGAGTACTTCCTTGCCCTGCTGACATGTGATTCCTTGAGAAGTTTGGCTTGCTGGAAGGAAACAGGGGCAGCTGGCTGGAGCACTCATCTGAAGCTATCCACTGTCCAGCTGTCCAGTACATAGAGGCATTCACTAGAGAGTCTCTGGGTTAGCTACCAGATACTCTCTGCTGGCACAGCTCCCTGGAACCTGTGGTAGCTACACAAAAAGCTAACTTGGCTCAAGAGTTTGAACAGTGTCGACATTAGAAGCTCTTGGCTTTGTGGAAACTGTGTTTCCAGAAACTCACTGCTCCCTATCTTCTCAGGCCGGCATCTGAGAAAAGAGATGAGTTTCATGGCACACCCTGAAGGCTGAATAGAAGAGCAATCTAGCAGGACTACAAGGAAACTGGATTGCAGAGGCATTGGCCTGCATATGTCTTTTAAAGCTGGGCCCAGTTTTCAAAATGGGATCCACTACTCTCACAGAAATAGCAGGGTGAAAGAGAAGAGGGGAGATAGAAGGATCTAAAGTTCTGTAGATCAGTATCCCACCTTAAATTACAGGTGGAAACAAAACCAGAACCATCTTGTAGATACTGGTTTCAGGCATTTTCAGACTGGCAGGAAGGGCTTAAGTAGCCTGCAGAGGAGCAGGCAGCCACATGCTGCAGACTATGCTCCTGCCTTAGTCCTGCGGCCGAGGGACCTTTCTTGGCCAGCAGGTTATGTGAAATGTGTGCTCAGGAACCGCTGCCTCATGGGTGGTGGTGGCTGCAATAAGTTTCCTAGAGTCCACGCATGGGGCTGAGGTCCCCCAGGGAGTGTCACCATCACTTCTCCCAGGGTAAAAGCTTGCATAGTCCAGACAAGGTGAAATCATTTCGCTGAGTGCCCAAGCAAGTCTCTGTTTTCTCTGTGTCGTTCCCAAAGTAAGATATAACTATGAGCACTGACTTTAGTGGCCTTTTCAAGCCATTCCTTGTGTGTAAAATGTATAACATGAAGTCCCCTTTTGTCCCTCTTCCCTCTTGCTCTCATGATGGTTTATTTCATGTGGTTTCCTTTCTCCAGCCTTTTGTCCGCATAGGCAATAATCTGTACTCTTGTTATTAAAGCTGTACATTTTTATCTTCTCAGGGGTTCATTTTAACTGTTCCTGAGTTTAAATGAAAACATGGTTATACCACTGCTTAAATTCATTATATGTCTGCATCTTGACTGATGCGGGTAACTTTGGTTCCAAGTTGTGGAGCTTATGGCCATAGGATGTTATAGACGCCAAAATGATAGAAGAGATTCAGAAAACTGCTAGGCATTGAAAAAAATCCATCAAAAACTACTAAAAAATACAACCTCCATTTTGAGAGACCCTTGAGCTACAGGTTATTGAGACCTAAGAGAATATACCAGAAAGATCTCACTGCATGCTTACCCTCAGCTTATGTGCTTTGCCAAGTGTCTGCTACTGGCCACTGTCAGAGGCTGGGTACTGGGGCAAATGGGCTTTGGGGCTGATTTAGTACATCCAGTAGTTCTCTTCCTTTCTTTCAAATAAATTTCTGCTGTTTGCTAGGGAGAGTAAAAGAGAGTATTTAGTTCGGTGCTGCAGAATAGGAAGTTCCCATTTTATCTGGAGCATTCAGAGTTATTTCTACCATTTGTGAGGGACATAAATCAGGATTAAGACAACTGAACCATAGGAGCTTTCTGTAAAACTAGTGTGAGACCAAAAACAGTCGCGTAAAGCTGATAGCAAGCAAGGGACGTAGAAAGTAAAATAAAAACCATCATGAAATGCCTTATTTCCCAGTAAAGGCCGTATCAGACTTTTTCCATTTACAAGTTTAACTGAGGTTCGTTTGTCTGCAGTGTTTTTCAGTGCCAGTACTGTGCTTTGTTCCTGTTCCCTGCAGAACTGGCAACAATAACGCCATAGGAATGCAGCTGCCAGTCTTGTGGGTGATGCACAAAGAGGAGGAGGACAATGACTCTGGCCGTGCTCCAGCCCAGTGGGCTCCGGCGGGAGTCCTGGCCGGAGGGAGACCAGCCAGCGCAGGCGCTAAGCCACAAAGGCAGCCACAGGGGACCAGAGCTCCTCGCCCCTTGCCTGAGCACAGGCCATCAGAGCCAGTGACGTCTCCTCATGCTGGCCCTCAGGCAACTAAAACTGAGTAGCTGGTGTTTGAGGGCAGGAGAAGCGCTGCAGGACGGGCCTGAGGCTGGTAACGCCCCTGAACACATCTTCTGCATAGGGGTGGTGCCTTGGTAGTAGAAAGGCCATTTCAGTGTCTGTCTTCCAGCAGTGAAGCTGAGGTCTGTTCCTCCACAGCCCTCTAAACAAACCCACTGTGCCTTTTTCCCGTCCCACTTGCAACCTGTCAGGCAGCAACAGCAGCACGCTTGCAGTACGTCAGGAGCGCTGAGTTAACACGGTGTGAAAAAAGAATATTCTGGAAATAACTTGCACCTCCCACAGTTGGATCTCTGTTTTCTTTCTTCCTGTGTTTTATCTGCTCTTGAAGTAGAATTTGGAGAGATGGCTTCAGCCACAGCAGAGGCTGTCAGGATACTTTTTATGAACAAATACAAAAGCTGTTACTAAGTGGTGCCACACAGTCCTATTCTAGCTCTCCAGAGACAGAGGAAGTTCAGCATTCTTTGACAGGGCTTTTGGGTTTTTTAGTACTGTCTGAATAATTATTCTGACCAAAATGAGAATGCCTTTGAAAATGGGAAGTAACGAGGACTTAGGTCCATAATGGCTGCCCACGTGCTGTCATGTGTGCAAGGCCAAAGCCGGTAGGTTTGGGGGAAAGTGTGCTTTTTAAGCTGCACTGCGCAGAGCCCCTCTTTGGAGGTGCAGGGGGTGGCTGCTCTGCTTCTTAGTGCTCTTGTCTCCCTCTATTTTGCAGCTACGATCTCATGTGCAGATGTTGGCATCCTGAGCCCAAGCTACGCCCTAGCTTCGGAGTGCTCCGGTCCCAGCTGGAAATGATTCGGGGGAGGATGTCCACACTCTCTTCCAGTCAAGATCCTCTCTATGTCAACATTGGGAAGGACAAAGAGGCATCTGCGAGTGACCCTGCCCTGCACGCCTCCTTCGGAAACATAGACGGCGAAGAGACCGTTGCTGGGGCAGCTGCTGCTGTCACAAGTGACTATCGCTACATCATGAGCCCCTTGTGCCTTGGAGATGATGCTGAGGGTGAAAGGCATCCAGATGGGCAGGAAGGGGAGGACAAAAGCCTTCTGTATGAGCTGGAGACAGAAGGGGAGAAAAGTTGTTAGCCTGTACATAGCAGTGACACTGCTTCCCTGGGACAGGATGTGTGCAGCCGCGGTGTCATGTCACCTGGGACTCTGATGCCGGATCTAGAATGGCTTTGAACAGCACTGGCCAGAGCTCTTGGGCAGCTTTTGTAGCTTTCACCACCTGTGTGGGCTGCATTGGCGGACGGCTTGGAAGGACCACAACCCAACAACCCCTTGGATTTGGGGGAGGGGGGCAGTAGGGTTATGGGTTGATTGCATCCCGCTGAAAGGAGTTCAAAGCTAAGACGGTCAGTCAGAGTCTACGCTCTGTTTCTTCCCACTGACTGCTGGAGCAGAGCTGAATACACGATCTATTCAGTCAGTGCTCACTCTTGTGTAGATGTTGTCTTCGATCCTGGCTGCGTGAATTCAGGACTGGTACCTCTGAAAACACTAGTGGATATTTACACTCATTCAGGACAAGAGGGCAAAATTCCCCTTGTGTTCACTCAGCAGTACAGCCTAGACTTGTTGCCTACCTCAGTGGTTCTCAAACTGATCTGCAGATCTGCCTCTACCCAGCACTGAATTTGAACATCTGGCTTATTTCATGCAGTAATGCTTGCTGCTCCCTCAGTGCGGGACTCTTAAAAGAGCTTCAGACGTTTTGGTGAGCAATGAAATTAGAAAAAATGAAAATCCAGCATCCCTCTTCACTCCATGTACCTTTTTTATGACTTGTGTTTTTCTTCTGTTTGATGCCAATTCAGGCCTGACCAGATTTGCAGCTGGCATTAAAATTCGAAGGGAGGGAGAGCAGCTGGCATGTGTGAGGACAGAATCCAGCTTCAAAGAGATGGAAAGGAAACTGTATCACTGTGTCGAAGACTTAACAGCAATATGGGGTAACAGTGCTAATTAGTGCTAAGTGCTGCCCTCCAGGAGAGGAAGGAGACAGCTTAGATACAGAATGGCAGACTTGCTTCAGTTTCAGCGGGAGCAGGATTCAGCATTTGCTTTAAAACAGGATTCGTTTAATCTTTCTCTGTAACAGTCCTGTGACTTTTTCAAATAACCAAGTGCTGTAGCTGCTGTAGTGAAGGTGTGAAATCGGTTTTGAGAAGGTGTGTGTGTCTGGGGCGGGGGAAAGGATCAACTGGGAGACCTCTTTCTGAAGAGAGTCCTCATGATGAAAAAGCTTGAGAACCACTGGTCTTCCTATTTAGGAGGTCTTCTGGCATGCTGTAAAAGCCACATCAGAACATAGACTAGAATCACTGCAGCCTTCCAGACAGGGCAAAATTAATGGTTTTGCTCTTCGGGTTTTGTTTTGTTTTCCAATCAGCATGTCTGACTCACTTTAACTGCAAGCGCTTGTGTGGTTTTTAATAATTTAATATTTTACTGTAAATCAGCATTTGTTTTGTGCAGTGGTTCCCAGCAAGGAAGTGCAGTTACATCTTACTCTACTTATCCTAAATATTTGCTAGATCTTAATTTCTTTTCTTTCCAGTGCGCCGAAAACATGACAGTATCACAAGACTTAGGATTCCACATTGTTCTTCCTCAGAAACAAATACCACAAATGTCATAATTTGCTGAGTCGGCAAAGGTGGGACCAGTAAGTCAAATGAGATTGCAGACTTAGTATCAGAACATTCCACCCTTCGATGCCCAGTATTTGCTCATTGTAAGGTTTGGGGCTAACTACAAAACTCATGTCCAGTTTCAGCCCTTAGTGAGGACCCTTCCTAGGGAAGGGGAATTTCAGCCTGGGGCTTAGGCATGGGTCCTTTCTGTAAAGTTTCCTACTGAACAGTGATGTCCTATAGATGTCTCCGGAAGTTCAGTACAGTTTCTCAGTCACAGGTACAAACTGCACCACATCTTATACTCCAGGCAGTACAGGGGTTTCTCTTCGTTTAGCTGGCATGCCGTAAATCCAGGTGAGAAGATAACACCTAACAAAGGGTAACACAAATCTGTGCGGTGCACATTTGCAGTGAGGGCAGAAGGCTATGCTCCCTGCAGCTGTCTGGGAAGCGCAGATGTACATATAGACTCTAACTTTGGGAAGCATGTCTTTAGTTTTTATGCATTTTTTAATAATAAAACATGTACTGTGTCTTAAGTCCCAGCCTCTTTTCTGTGGCAGAGTTGGTGGTGATGGGGTCATAGTGAATCTGTCAGCCCCAGCTAAAAGCCATCTTTCTCCCTTCACCAAGCATGATTAAGCTACTTCTTGGAGGCAGAGAATGTTTGGCTGCGCCAGATGGCAGTTACTCTGCCATTGCTCCAACCTTGAGGCTAAAGGCTGAAATCTGCTGGGCATGGGCTGGTGGTTCCGCAAAGAGAGGGGCTCTACTGCCATTGCTGTGCAAGAGGCTGGAGAGAAGCCCTTACTGGGACATGCTGCATCCCACCTGGGAATGGAAAAAAACCTCTGCGTCAGTTCCTCCCTTAAAACTGCCGCCTGCACCCGTCCAACTATTGGCAGTGCTCTCTGTGGAAGAGAGGTTTGGAGGCGGTAGGTAAAATTCAGCTGCTGAGTCAAATGTTCCAAGCGCAACATAAAAGATCCCCTGGATTTCCAGCTCGCAGAGAAGAAAAGGTGTACCTCACGCTTTTATTCTTCGTCAGCAAACAGCACGTTGCACGCCCTCTGCCTGCCAGCTCACACAGAGAGGAAGAGTGATGGTAAACGGTATGAGCGCTCGCACCCCCATCTGCAATGCAGGAAAAATGACTTCCAGAGCATGAAGTGGCTGATTTAGTTAATATTTTAAGGTTCCATTGCCCAGTGATCTCCCTTGGATCTGGTTCAAATGATGATTTAATTCTTTTGCCTGCAAGGCTCGTCAGACCAGGTACAAATGAGGCTATGTTGTGGGTGGGAGACGCAACAGCAGAAGAAGAGCTAGTGAGAAAAGAGGGAGGGAAGGAGATTTTTAAATGGGGACAGATGGAACGAGCTGTGGAGACAGCAAATGAGCGAGTCAGAAAGCAGAGATGGGAAATTTTATATATGAAATTCCAGAACAGAGAGAGCATTGCCCCAGCCAGGACCGAGCAGGGGTCTGAGGTGGGGTCTGTCTTTGTGTTTTGGTAAAGAATGAGATGTTCTGGTCCAGCCCAGGTGCCCTGCAGTGTGTTGCTCTTAAATCATGAAGAGGCTGTACACAGCTGGCCTGGCTCTGTGCATCTGTTTGGCAACAGCGCTGTGACCTGCACTCCAGGGAAGCTTCAGCCTAACAGTTCTGATTTAGGCACTGATCCCACACCTGGGTTTACTGACTAAACCAAACATTTCCCCTGCAAAACACCCTCCTTTTCTGCTGCCCCAGTACAACAGTGCAGTCCCTCTCATCCTCCCAAGCAGCAGCTCCCTTGCCCCATTCCCTGTGGTGGGACAGCCAAGGGACACTGCACATTTCTGCTGAAGCAACCTCTGTCCCACACTGCTAAGGCCAACTGCACTCCTCCTCCGTCCACACCTCCCTCAGGTTGGGACGAGGTCTCCTCCTTTACAACACAGGCTCAAGCCGCTCAGGGCAGTTACCAGCTCAGTCGTGAGGCAGCGTGACCCCACAGTGCCCAGCGAGGGCACAGCGAAAGCTCACAGCTCTGTCTCTGTTGCGTTGGGGTAGTTAATGCACATGGAGAGGTGCCCCGGTCAGCTCCAGCACCAGCGCCAGGGCCGACTGATGGGCCCTCGATCACAGGCGGCGCCAGCAGCTCAGCCTGCAGACACAGGGATGCTCCAGCCCAATCTGAAACCTGTGCGGTGTGGGGAATAGCGTGCGCATGTCTGACAGCTCGGCAGGTGCCTACAGTGCATGGATATACCTCGGAGCTAATGCACAGCTACTCTGGGACCTGCCACCTTCCTTCTTGACCTGTGTTTGGAGGGAAGTCTTGCAGTCTTGACTGAATAAGAACACTCCTTGAAGTCAACTGCAATTCATTTTGAGTAAAAGTTTGAGTCTGGCTGATCAGAGAAGGGAACAATTTGCACACAGATATTTTCCTGGCATACATTCTGTTTTGCTGGCAGTATTCATTGTCCCCTGATGCTCAACAGCCACCACCTTTTGCAGATTCTCCTATTTTTTACTAGGGATTTCTGTAAGGGACCCTCATTCACAGTCCTAATTTTATACTGATTTGTTATTCAATGCCTTAAAATAGCACGTTGTTCTATGAACACTCAGAGCAAAGGGAGCCTCATCTCCTGTGGACTTGAATCCCCCAGGTGAGATTTGCCCCTAGTTAAGGTACTTAGAAGAGCTTTTCCCTTGGTGGAGTCTCTGGTGTCCAATAAGAAGTCATTGAATTTCCATCTGCGGTGAAGGTACCGATGTGGCACTAATAGGGTCTGCCACACACAGCCTGTTTTCAGAAAACTTGTAGAAACTTAATTATCCTTCAGACCTCGATCTTGCCATCACATTTGGCTGAAATGAAGCACTGGATTCAAAAGCTATTAGGGACAACACGTGCAGCTGGTGATCAGAAAGCCTTGTTACCATGGGAAACGGAGCTAAAAATCAATTACTTAGTCCAAGAACAGAAAAGACTGACGGACATGGTTTTTGATTGCATTTGCTCTGTCATATAAAAGGAACCCAGCGTCAGTATGAATCAGACCTCAGTCACTGCACCGAGGTCTAGCGACAAAACAAAGATGATCGACTCCTCGCTTACTAATTACTCTGTGGATCCTCCAGCTCGAGGCATACCAAGCCAAGTCATTCCCAAATGCGGTCAGGCTGGGGAAACGGAACATCTTTTGGTCACGTTTGACAATAGGACCGAAATTAAGAGCCGAGTATTTCAGCGGCACGGTTGTTGGCTCCCACCAAACCCAGCTTTCCAGGCGGGCGCTCTGATGAGCCACCAACCACAGCTTGGAAAGTGTCTAAATAGCTTTTGTTTCCTCCAGTTTCTTTTCACTGGCTTAAAACAGAACTGAAAGAAACATTTGACCTCAGAAAATGGACAGCACTTGTTGATTTAAGCTTTGTTGAGTTCAGTAGGGATTTAGTGAGACTGGACTTTCCAGTTTCCAGAGGAGTCTTTACAGGAGCTATCTCTTGCCAGCCTGTGGTGTGAGGAAGCAGGAATTTGTGAAGAGGAAAGAGGGTTTGCATGCATAAATGATCTAATTGGGAATATAAGATATTGCACTACATGCTGATAAACATAGTGCCAGTAAAGGTGACAAAAAGGGGGAGCTGAGAAAAATGCTGGGGCATTGGAGGGAAGCACACTCTGTACGCTGCAACATGGCAATTAGTGCAGCAAATTCAGAAGGTTCCTGCTTTCTTAGTTAATATATAAGACGATGATGCTGACTGCTACCCTGTCATTACCCGAGCTGCGTGGGAGACTGCTGCTGCCTCTTTACTTGTGCTCCGCCAATGAATGCCTCTGCAACAGCCACTTTTGCTTGTGCGACGCGGCTGTTAGCTGGAGCAGAGCGCCCTTTGGTCACCTGCTGCTGCCTCTCCTTGTTTCTTCTTATTAAATTACCTTAAAAGAAGCTAAAAAAACCCCAAGGTTCACATTGCTGGATGATGTAAAGCATCATGCCTCCAATTACATCAGGTAAGGTTCAGGCCTAATTAATACATTTCCTGGTATTATTTGTCTACATTATCCCTTCCCTTGCGCAGAGATACACAAAGAAAAAGAGGAGCAGAAATATTTTGCCAGCTTGTGGCTGTGCGTACAAGAAGGGACTGAGCTTTAACAGCCTTTTGGTGCCCCTGAACCTTGTACCTAAGCTGCAGGTG